TCCCAAGGCAACGTGCGCGGGGATCGGGGCCTGGGAGCTGGGGAGGGGGGGGGTCGCGCCACGTCCCGAGATCCGATCTTTCCCTCCGGATGGGGTGGGTGGGGGAAGAATCGGTTTCCCCCGAGTTCGCTCTCCTCCCCAACTGGGTGAGAAGTCAGGCGGGTTGTCTTGCACGCCTGGTGACCCGCATTGCACTTCGGTTGGGTCATGCTTCCAGCGTGACACTTTTCTTGCCTCATCCGTTGGCACGAATACTGCAATTCCCAGGCAAGCAACGAAGGCAGCCCTCGTGCAGAACGGGGACAAAGATGGGTGACCCCGAAGCAGGGAGGTTTTTTTCGGGGGGGGGGGGGGGGAGAAGCACGAAAGCCTGCCGATGGAAAGCAAAGGGAGGTAGACTGCGCTTTTATGGGGGAGGCTCCACTTTCGGGGGTTTGTCAAACCGATATAATTCAGCGTACCCTGCGGTCGTCGTCCCCCCCGCCCTCATAAGTTATGTTCAGAGGTAGCTAGGCAAGGCAGGAACTGGAGGTTCCATTTTCCTGCGGAGGGACCCTTTCTGACCAAGATTTTGTCTGATCGCATGTAAATGTGAGAGTCCATGGCTGCATCATGTGGCAGGGAGTTCCACAAGCTTGATTCTGCATTGTGGGAAGGTCCTGAGTCTTCTGCCCCATCCATTTTACTGGAGGACCCAAGGTTTAGGATATTGAGAGAAGGAGCAGGGCAGCCCCTCCCCGGTGAGAGGTTTATAATCAGAATTACTGACAACCTTATTTAACCTCCTAAAAAGGCAGCTTTTAAAAATACAAGACAAATCTGTGCAGAGGTTGCAAATAAAGCCGTTTGGGAAACCGAGGGGTTTGGACCACACAAGCCTTTGCTGCATCTGAATATTTCTTTTGCAAGAGGAATATCAGTGTGGGGGCTCTGCCGGGGCACAGGCGCGCTGCCCTTGTAGGGAAGACCCTGGATGGTTTCAGCTTCGGGTGGGCGTAACGCTGAAGGCCTCTGAGCAAACTCCTGAAGAGCGAGTCTGCCCTCTGCTGGCCAAAGATCGAAGCAACACCAGCAGCTGCCTGGCTTGGAAAAACTGCAGAACTTGGATTCTTTTTTTTCCATAGCAGTAGAAAAAGAGCAAGAGTCCAGGAGCACCTTAAAGAGTAACAAAAATTGTGGCAGGGTAGGAGCTTTCGTGAGTCACTGCTCACTTCTTCAGAACACTGCTCACTTCTTCACCCTACCACAAATTTTGTTAGTCTTTAAGGTGACACCCTGTTTTGTGTCTGATTGAGTTTTGTGAGAAATATGGTTTTAACTGTTTGATTATATCGTTACTTAGTGATTTGTGACCTATCTTGAGCCTGCTTGTGGGGAGGGCGGGATAAAAGTCGAATTAAACAAATAAATCCTGAACTCTTACTCTTTTCTGATGCTACAGACTAACACGGGCTACCCATCTTCATCTGTCTGAAATATGAGGGGATGATTGATTAATTCATTCATTAACTTCATTTATATCCCACCTTTCTCCCCAGCAGGGACTCAAAGTCACCAACATCTTTCGTATCCCCTCCATTTTATCCTCACGACAACCCTGAGAGCCGAGGTAGGTTGGGTTGAGAGTCCCAAGGTCACCCAGCAAGCTTCCATGGCAGAGAAGGATTCGAACCTGGGTCTTCAGTTCCTAATCCAGTGCTTGAACCACTGCACCATGCTAACTAGACTCTTGAGTAGCACCTTTCTTCTGGCAGGTCCCTTTGCAGGCCAGGTTAAATGGCTTAGAGAGAACAAGTGGGAACTGAATCCTGATAAAACAGAGGTGGTGTGCTGGTAAGGAAGGCTGAGGTCCCGGAGGACACGGCGCGTCCCACATCGGATGAGGCTCAGCTGCTGCTCTGTGCTGATCCAGTTAAGAGTCTGGAGGTCCTTCTGGCCTCGGCATTATTGCTGGAGAAGTTCATGTTTTCTTCCATGTTCCCTCCCTTGACTCAGCCTGTCTGGCTATGTTGGTGTCGTGGTTCCGGTGTTGAACTAGGATCCGGGAGACCCGGGTTAGGACCCCCCATTTTGCCATGAAAGCTCGCTGGGTGACCACCCGCACTCGGCTTAACCTACCTCCCAGGGTTGTTGTGTGGGTAAAATGGAGAAGAGGAGAACAGTGCAAGTTGGTTTGGGTCCCCAGTGGAGAAAAAGACAGAGTCTAACGGAAGTAAATAGATAAATGCATACGTGGATCTGTGCCGTGGTAACCTCGAGGCTAGACTACTTTCTCGCCCTCGCATGGATCTGCCCTTGAAGACAGCTCGGACATGCTAGCTGGGGCAGAACTCCACAGCTCTTGGGAGCTAGGCAGAATATTGTATAGCTATGCATACTGCAGATAGATTCAGGTGGGCAGCCGTGTGGGACTAAAGCAGCAGAACACAGTTTGAGCCCGGTGGCACCTTTAAGACCAACAAAGTTTAATTCTGAGTATAGGCTTTCATGTGCATGCTGACTTCACTAGATAGCAGGTATCCGATGAAGTGTGAATGCACACGAAAGTTTATTCCCAGAATTAAACTTTGTTGGTCTTAAAGGTGCCACCGGGCTCAAACTTTGTTCCGTGTTGTGCAGTCGTTCCTCTGGTTACTAATCAGTTTCTTGGTGCAGTTCAGAATACTGGTGTTTGCCTACAAAGCCCTTCGTGGCTTTGGACCTGCATATCTCCAGGAGTGCCTCTCTCAATATGTTCTGCTGCTTTCTCTCACCGGAGCCAAGCCTTCGAATGGTGCCGCCCTCCAGAAGGGCACAAGCGACAGCTGCGCATTCTCGGTGGTGGCCCCCCACTTTGCGGAGCGGCCTACCCAGGAAGAGCAGGAAGGCTCCCACTCTCCCACCGTTTCCCCGAAGGTGTAGAACGGAATTGTTCCGGAGGGGCCCTTTCTATAAAGGGAAGAGCGCCGGAATTTTAATTGCCTGTGAAAAACTGAAATGGTTCCCTCTCCCTCCGCCTTCCTACCGCATTGTTTCTCGGAGGTATTATACGAGCCTTATCTTCATTTCCCTCTAATTATGAAATCTAGTTAAGTGGATCCTGTAATTTGTGAAATTCAGGCTATTTTATGTCTTACACTGTTTTTATCCCACTGTTCTTCGATTGTCTGATTTAGTTTTACTGCATTCCTCATTTTGTGTATCATACTATTCTCCCTCTCTCTCTCTCTCTCTGCCCCTCATTGTTCTTATAATTCTGTAATCCGATTGCAGTCTCAATGAGAAAGGTAGGCATGAAATGCAAACTAGGGATGCCAGCCTCCCGGGGGGACCTTGGGGTCCCCTGGAATCACAGTCAATGCCCCCTCTAAGCTGTGGAGTCTTGTGAGCAGAAATTCTACTTTGTGAGCTACTGGGATTAAAGTCGTGAGCAAGCAATTTGGCTCCAGCATAAGTTAATTTGCTCCGGAGCCAGCCTTCCTGAGCTGAGACAAAAATGTGTGACCTGGAGGCTAAAAAACTGTGAGCTCGCTCACACTAACTCAGCTTAGAGGAAACACTGATCACAGCTCATCTCCACACTACCGAGGTCAGTTCCCCTGGAGAAAAGGGATGCTTTGGAGGGTGGAGACTCTGTGGCATCGTACCCCATCGAGGCCCCTGTTCTCCCCACCTCCGTCCCCAATTCTCCAGGAGTTCCCCGTCCTGGATCTTGCTCCTGGGCTTGTCGTAGCAGCTTGGTTCCAATGAATGAGATGGTGCTGGGCATAGTGTGGGCACGTCTGGACCCTGGTCCATGCCAGGATGGGACACCGCTGGGGAACTCTCTCCCTTCCCTTGA